CGGTCGAGCCCTTCATCCGCCGAAGAACATCTGGGCAGTTTGGCGTTGTCAGTGATGACGAACTGAGCTGCCACGAGCATTCCCGTGCAGGTTATTGTGAGCGTAAGTTTTCACTGAAGTTTAAATTACCTTTCCCTCAAAAGATTGATGACAAATGTACTCATTACAAAAACCATTTTCAAAAATATATGGTGTCTCCTTTATCATTGGAAGTAGGAAATGAAATTACTGGGGCATACGGTGAGTATGTTATTAACTCTGTAAGAAGCTGCCAGATTGTTTTCCAGAGTGACTAGCTGCATTCCCGCAGCCACGCGTGAGCGTTCCGGCTGCTCCTCATCCTCACCGACGCTCCGTGCTGTCAGTATTCCTTATTTCGGCCTTTCTAGCAGGTGTGCAGTGGCATCGCCACGTGGTTTTGATTTGCGTCTTGCTAATGGCCATGATGGTGACTATCTTTCCATGTGCTCATTCGTCTCCTCAACATCCTTTTTGGGAAAGTGTTTGTGTTTTGTCCATTTTTTAACCAGATTGTTTGTTTTCTCCCCACTGAGTTTTGAGAGTCCTTTACATGTTCTGGTTTCAAGTCCTTTGCCAGATAAGCGATTTGCAAATATTTTCCCCCAGTCTGTAGCTTGTCTTTTCATTCTCCTAAATGAATCTCTTGCAGAACAAAAGTTTTAAACTTTGTTGAGGTCCAATGTATCCATCTTTCTCTTTTATGGATCATGCTTTGGCAAATGTCAGGTCTAAGAACTTGTTGCCTATTCACAGGTCATGAAGATTTTCTCCTACGTTTTCTTATAAAACTATTTATAGTTTTACATTGCAGCTAGAGATCTGTGACTTGTTTCGAGTTAAATTTTGTATAAGGTGTGGACTTGGGTTGAGGTACATTATTTTGCATATGGATGTCTAGTTGTTCCAACACCATTTGTTGAGAAAACTGTTCTTTCTCCGTTGAATTGTCTTTGCACCTTCATCAAAAACCAGTCAGATTTGGGTGGGTTCATGTCTGGACTCTGTTCTGTTCCACTGACCTGTGTGTTCATCCCTCCTCCAGTACCCCACTGCCTCGATTATTCTAGTCATACAATAAATCTTAAAATCAAGTGATGCAATTTCTCCAACTTTATTCTTCTCTTTCACAATTATTTGGCTATTTTAATTTCCTTGCATTTCCATGTAGTTTTAGAATGAGTTTATCTATATCTAAACAAAATCCTGCTGGAATTTGGATTGGAATTTCAATAAACCAGTAGATCAATTTGGGGAGAGAATCAACATCTTTACTATGTTGTCTTCCAATCCATGAACATGGTATGTCTCTTCATTTATATAAGTCCTCTTTGATTTCTTCCAGGAGCGTTTTCTAGTTTTTAGCATAAAGATTCTGTACATTTGTTTGCATATTTATCCCTAATATTTTGTTTCTCTGATTCTATTATATACGGTAGTGTTTTTAAATTTTTGGTTTTTTAACTGTTTATTGTTCACATGTAGATATATGACTGACTAAATGTCCTTTCAGCAATAGGTCATTACAACTATTATATAACAAGACAGTTATAACTATATGACTAAGTCAAATTATCTGTGCAACTAACAATTTATAGCCAAAGAGCCCAAGTCAAAGTCCTAGTTCATCAGTATAACCAAAAAAATTATATGATTCCATGATAATTATTCTGTTTACTTAAGATCTATACAATGTGTTGGGTTCTGCATTAAAAATTATCTAAGTAGCCTACGTGTTAATTTGACAAAAAAAATTGTTGCCTGTTGCACACCCAGTTCTGTGCTGAGAGCCACAGATAAACCAACGGCCTCTTTCATGAACGGTCCTGACCCCTGATTTCACAGCTCTGAGAGCTCAAATAGAACATGTGTGCCTTAAAAGATTTAATTCCCTTTTCCTCAAAAGTTTAGTGACCAATATATTTATTTTAAAAACCACTCACAAAAATATATTATTTTCTTTTCTCCTTCAAAGCAGGTGTGCGATTCACATGTGAAACATCACCTGCATAACGCTTTGTTAAATCTCTCACAACACGAGTAAGTTTCCATAATATGAGCTGCACATACTGTGACTAAGCATTAATTTCTTTAAAAACTTCCAGTCAAGTTTAAGACATTTTTCTAGTTTAATTGCAGGATGGATAATTTAAAGGCAAACGGTGTTTCTGTAACTCAAAATCCAATACACAGCACGTAGGAGAATGTGTGCGAACACCAAGGGGAAAGCGGCGTGGACTAAATTTTGATCTGTTCCAATATTTCAGGCCACGAGCATGAGATCTAATAAATAACTTCACCCAGTAGACAGACCACACACTTAAAGACATTTGTCTGAAAGCGAGCAATGCAAACATTTTCCTGGCTGATCTAGTTTTTCTTAGTTCTCAATTTCACACTCACCCTCTGTTGGAGGAGAAGACAGTGCGAGGCCGGTTCGCGGTGCTGGACACACAGGCTGGTGAACGCAGAGTCGCCGTGGGCCGGAGATCGGGTCACAGGAGGAGAATCGGAGGAGAATCAGCTTCTCCAAAGCGTCCCAGAGAGAGAAAGTTGGAACCAGAAGAGCTGGGGGTTCAAGCAAGGACCGCAACGCTCCCACCCCTGCCCTGGCTGCTTCGACGTGCTCAGGTTCAAAGGGCGCAGCGTCTGCCCCTGAGGAGCCCGAGCATGATCGTGTCAGTCCTCCACGCGTGGGACAGCGGGGCCGTCGGTCAGCAGACAGCACCCGTCGCGCAGCATCGGGCGCCGTCCGCGGAGAGGACGTGGTGAGCGCGGCCCGCACTCCGCCTGAAGCAGGTTGGGTCTCGTCGGGATGAGACAGTGGCTAACGAACAGGAAGCGCGAGACAAGCAGAACACAATCAAGAGGTGAAACATGAGGTGCCTGTCATCAAGAAATGCAGGTAATGGAACCGGATCATTCTTCCACTGTTAACACGGTCAACGCCCTCGGGCGGGACGTCCGTCCGCTCCGCCTCGGCTGTGCTCGCAGCCCCGGGGCCACGCTGGCCGCTGGGGTGGTCAGGAGTGAGTGAGCCGCGGCTGAAGTGTCGGGGCTGAGGAGCCGTGTCCTCTGTCTCCAAGGTGCTCATAGCCGCGGAGGAAGGGACAGACAGCACGTGGGTGCGCCGTGCCGCCTGCACTGCGCAGGGAGGGCGTCGTGAACTCCAGGTACTCAGAGCAGAGACCACGGTGCTGAGTCGGCCCGGAAGCTGGAGCGAGCCCCCCGGCAGATGCCTTTGCTCTGGGCCTGGACCAGGCACTGCACAGGGGGCAGAAGGAAGGAGGAAGGGCCTCTCAGACAGGCGGGACGCCCCGCACAAGGCCAGCTGCGCTGGAGCTTGGCCCGGCCGCCGCGTTGGGCGTGGGCGCGGGGCCTGGCCCGGGGCAGGGGCCTGCAGAGCGGGAGGCGCCGGGAGGCCGGCTCCTAACCGGCTGAAGCCAGCGGGGGCCCAGTGGACACTGGCAAAGCGGGGGGCAGCCGTCATCACGTCCGTGTGTTCTGAGCTTGCTCTCCGCGGTGGGACGGAAGCCAAGAGGGGCAGGGAGTCGTGCGGGGCAGTCGGTGAGAGGACAGGGGCTTTGGGCCGCACCCCGAAGGGCACCGACGTCCCAGGGGAGCAGGGGAGCTTGTTTATCGGTGTTAATTCTTGGGGGGCGAATACAAGAAATGCCTGGGAGAAGGTCTGTTAACGGAGCAGAGGGGGAGCAGAGCTGGAGGTTCGATGTGCGACGACCCACCTCTGGCTTCAGGGGCAAATGCCAACAAGCGTGGCGGGGAAACACGCACACTTCGCAAATACTGTCCCCGTCACTCTCACATGCAGTCGCCACCCAGTGACTAAACCCAGAGATGCATTATCATACATTCCAGAGCAGCGCACTGTAGGCTTTTTGGCAGCAAAACTGTCCTTTGGGGGAGAAGGGGTCCCCTAAACAATGTGCACGAAGCTAAGAGACTGGGGGGAAATGCTTGAGTGATTTCAACACATCTAACTGATTTGCTTTCGCCAAATTCTCCACAGACAGGGCAATGCCACGCCGCCCAGGGCCGGAGCGCCTCTGACCCCCCGAAACTCGTTCTTGCCCGGGCAGCCCAGGCCCCTCACAGGCACCGCGTTCACGTCCCAGTAGGTGCTGGAGTAGCAGTGAGAGAGCGGGGGAGAAACCGAGTCAATTTTGCAAGCTGCTCCCCTTTGCTTTGCTTTTCCGAGAGCTCCGTGTTCGCGCCGTCGCACTGCTTACCCCGTCACACCGCCTGTGCTGCCAGGCGTTGGCAGCAGCGGAGTTGAGAGCTGGGGAGGGCGGCGGTGGCAGGAACAGCAGCCTCCCCGGGAACTCTCTTCCCTCTGTGCTGAGCTGCGCTCGGGCAATGCCTGCTGTTTGGTGTCTGCTGTGCAATATTTACCGCCCTGGAATTTTCTGGTTCAGTCGAGTATGCGGGGGCCCCAGACACGCACGCCCAGCCCTGCCCTTCTCCCTCCTCACTCCAGACACGGCCTGGTGCTCCCGGAGCGGGCAGACCCCCGGCACCCCTGGGGCAGGACGCTGACTTTGCAAAATGTTACGCAGCCCTTCAAAGCGAGGGAACAGGCTTGTCCTTTGCTGCTGGGCTGTTGTGGGTGCCCTTCCCGGGCGCTGTCTGCTCTTCAGACCTGCAGCCTGCAGGGAAAGAGCCTTCCCCTCCCAGCGCTTCCCCGACCTGCCGTACCTTAGAGGAAATCGCCCTTAAATTCCCGTCAGCCCCCCTCTGTCGGTTTATACGCCTTGGAGAAGCAGCCACTGGGCCAGCGCTAGGAACGTCTGCCTGCAAGTCGCAGCTACACAACCGAACGTTCCCGCCAAGGCTGCGCCTGCCCCGGTGTGTCTTGTGCGCGGCAGTGGGTCCTAGCGGGACGCCCAGACCCACACGGCTCCCCTGAGGAGGACGAGACCCGGGACTGTGGCCTGTCCCGGGGTCACCGTGCCTCTGTCTTGCAGGACTCACACCACGCGGCAAGAACCACTCACTACGGCTCCCTGCCCCAGAAGGCCCAGCACGGCCGGGCCCAGGAAGAAAACCCCGTAGTCCACTTCTTCAAGAACATCGTAAGTGACACCGAGGGGACGCAGGCCATGGGGGGTAGGAGGGCTGCCAGCCGCTGCCACAAGCCACACGGGACGTGCACTTATCCTCGGGTGACACCAGGTCCCTCAGGGTGAGGCTGGCACCAGAGCTCCACCCTGGCGCCGGCCCCAGGTCCCGAACAGGCGCCTCCAGCGTCATCTGCCGGAGGACGCGCTTCTGTTGAGACCAGACTCGCGTGCGAGGCTCAGTCTAAAAACAGGCTTCGCAAAGGCATCCTGCTGGCACAGAGCTGTGAGGTGGCCAGGGCCGGGGAGGGGCTGCACAGACGCGCGCAGGGTCCCTGGGGCGCGGCGCTGCTCCGTGCCGGCCGTGACGGGGACACACCCAGCAGCAGGGCTGTCACGGGAGCCAGCGCCCAGCTGTGCTGGCCACTCTCTCAACCCCCGAGTGCTCTGGAGGATCTGCAGACGGGGAGGCCGGGCAGGGAGTGGTGCTTTCCCTCACCTGCCAGAGGGACCCTCGGGAGGGGCGGGGGCTGCTCTGCGGGGGCGACTCCCAACGCAGCCCCCGCTCTGTGTCTTTCCAGGTGACACCTCGCACGCCTCCTCCATCGCAAGGAAAGGTAAGGACTCGAGTGCTTTGACCAATCGTCCCTGTTTAGACTTTCCCGAAATCCTAAAATGTACCAGAAAGAGCTGGACTCAGAACGATCTGAATTCATCCCCAAACGTTTTGCCACGTTGCTCCCAAGTAGAATGGGGCCCCCTCCTACATCCCCCTACTCCTTCCCACACCCCCTGTACCCCCTGCACCCTCCTGCAACCCCCTGCAATCTCCTACGCCTTTCTACACCCCTGTACCCTCTACACCCTCCTACCCTCCCACACCCCCGGCACCCCCTACAGCCCCCTGCACCCGCGCAGACGGGGCCACCTGGGCCTGCAGTCCTCGGTGCAAAGCTCCAGGTAGCCGCGCCGACCCCGGCTGTGAGCGTGTTCACCTCTCGGCGATGGAGGGCTTTGACTGTTTCCTATTTATGGAAAGAACTTGCTTCTCGCTGACGCCGTGTCCTGTCTCTTTCTCTTCTCACACAGGGGAGAGGACTGTCGCTCAGCAGATTTAGCTGGGTAGGTGGCAAACGCATGTCCCTCCAGCTTCCTCCTCCTCTCCGGTCCGCACAGCGTTGACTTACGTTCGCCTGTTTCGGTTGCTTAACTGCCCTTCCTTCCCGCTGAGACCAGCCCCTTCAAGCCCATTAACGAACGCCACTTGCTCCCGGCCCAGGACCGGCACAGCAGATCCTCTTCTCCCAAAGGGTTCCTGGCCACTCCACTGGTCTCCCTCCCAGGGAGGAGGCAACACCATTCTTGAGATAATTTCTAATTTCCTTCCAACACAACCGATGGGAAAAGCAAACCCCAGAAGTCCGAGTGTGGAACTGCGGCGACGGCCCCACCTAAATAACCCCAAATGTTGAATGTTATTGAGGAAAAACGATACTGCTATGAAAAGAAAAAGACGCTAAATTCAGTAATTCAATTTATAATAACCCCATTAATCCAAACGATTTTGGCTTTGTTTGTATTTTAGTAATAACTAAAACTTAGACATCAAGCCATGCAGGAAAACCTCCTTAGGAATTTTAGGCTTTTTAATACAGAGAGCAAAGCTAATCTGTTCATTTTCTAGTGACTTTGGTGTCTGCACCAAACTAAAATGTCTCGCCATTATATTTTATTATATTTATTATATAGGAAATATATTATTTATATTTATTTATTATATTTTAACCAAACTTATAGCGTGCGGGGCAGTCGGTGAGAGGACAGGGGCTTTGGGCCGCACCCCAAAGGGCACCGACGTCCCAGGGGAGCAGGGGAGCTTGTTTATCGGTGTTAATTCTTGGGGGGCGAATACAAGAAATGCCTGGGAGAAGGTCTGTTAACGGAGCAGAGGGGGAGTAGAGCTGGAGGTTCGATGTGCGACGACCCACCTCTGGCTTCAGGGGCAAATGCCAACAAGCGTGGCGGGGAAACACGCACACTTCGCAAATACTGTCCCCGTCACTCTCACGTGCAGTCGCCACCCAGTGACTAAACCCAGAGATGCATTATCATACATTCCAGAGCAGCGCACTGTAGGCTTTTTGGCAGCAAAACTGTCCTTTGGGGGAGAAGGGGTCCCCTAAACAATGTGCACGAAGCTAAGAGACTGGGGGGAAATGCTTGAGTGATTTCAACACATCTAACTGATTTGCTTTCGCCAAATTCTCCACAGACAGGGCAATGCCACGCCGCCC